TATTTTATTTAACATTATTTATACATTTATTTATTTATTTATTTAAATTTGACTAGAGAGGGACAGAGTGGGAGAGAGAAACAGAGAAAGTGAGAAAGCAAGCTGCCAGGTCCAGGACTCAAACTGCGGTCGGCCACGTGGGAGGCTAGTGCCCTTAACCACTACATCACCTGGCAGTCACCTATATATCCTTTTTAAGAAAAAAAAAGACAGCAGACAGACATTATTGAGGGGTGCTATGGCAACGACGGGGGAAGGGACTTGCAGTAGGGAAGAGACTGAACTCAACTCTAACAAGGACAAGTGGCGATCTGTAACCAAGGGGCAGGGTGAAGGTCAGCAGAAATCTTCCTGGAGATCACTGACAGAAAACATCAAAGACAAGAGGTTGCTGGCTAAACTGACTTGATGGGATTATTGCCGGAGGTGGGCCAGGAGATAAGATACCAAGGAAGGGCAGATATCTAGTGTGGGGAATTTGGGCCAAAGTGACTTAGCAGGATTCTTGCTCAAACTGGAGTCTACAAGGACAGAGAGGGAGGCCCAAGGTCAGGCCTAGTCAAGCAAAAAGGCTCAGGAGGCCACTCAAGTTTCGATCAAAGGAGAAAGAAAAGTATCAGAACTCGGCTACAAGGTAGTAAATGAGGAGGTGCCAGAGATGGCTCCCAAGTACCTGGCTCAGGACGGCAGGGAGAAGGTGGGAGTATTCACTAGGAGACTGACAGGAGGGAGGGGGTTGGTCTTCAATGTTTGGCTGGAAGAAAAGGAAAGAACACGGGGACCGAAAGATGGCTTAATGGTTACACAGCTGGACTCCCGGATAGTTGGCTATGATTTGAGTCCTGGATCCAGTGCCTTGAAACTCACACTGGGCATTTGTGTATGCGTGCCGAAAATCCTGAAAGGAGAAGGGATTACAACATGGCCATCCCCGGGGGAGGAGATGTCTCTCTCTCTCTGTCTGTTTCGCAAGTGCACATGCCCTATAGTAAAAAAATCTCTCTCTAAAAAATAAATAAATAAATAATAAAAATAAATAAGATGAAACTGTGTGAACTGGGTCAGGATGAGGCCACCAGCAAGTACAGACCAAGGAGAACGAAGCAAAGCCACCTGGACGAAAACCAACAGGTTGGGCGCTGGAATCCAGCGACTGATCGCTGGAGAAAGACATGTCAAAGCTGGAATTACAAATCCTAGGAGAGATAAAGGTCAGGATGGGAATAAGGAGAGCCAACCAGGTGGTGCGGTGCTTGACACTGGATCCCACATGGCCAACTGTGTGGTTTGAAAATCATGGACTAGGGGGCTTGAAAATCATGCTGGGTGCATGTGCATGTGTGCACAAAACCCTAAGAGGAGAATGGAGAAAGGATTACACAGTGGCTATCCCCCTTGGGGGGTGCTTTCTCTCTTTCCTTCTCTCTCTCTCTCTCTCTCTCTCTCTAAGCACTGAAAGGTGCTTTCTTTACAAATCATTTAACTGGGACCAGCAGATGGTGTAATGATTGTGGACTCCCATGCAGTCAACAGCGGTTCAAGTCCTGGACCCAGCAGTCTAAAAGTCATGCCAGGCACATGTGCGTGCAAGCCCAAAATCCAGAGAGGAAGTTGGAGGAAAAGGGATTGGAGTGTGGCCATCCTCCCTGGTGGTTGACTACATGGGAGCTCAACGATATAGCCATTACGCTAACTACTAGTCCCTAGATTTTCTCATTTCTAAGGGAGAGATACAAATATTTTCCTCCTAGAGTGTTTTTGTTTGTTTTTGTTTTGTTTTGTTTTGTTTTGTTTTAGAAATTTTCAGTATAGGGCGTATGCGCTCGCCAGACAGACAGAGAGAGACATAGAGACAGAAAGCGAGAAATCACCCCCCAGGGGGGGATGGTCACGCCGCAATCCCTTCTCCTCCATTCTCCTCTCGGGATCTTGGGCATGCACGCACACGCACCTGGCGTGAGTTTTAAGCCACTGGGTCCAGGACGCGAACCGCGGCCGACTATGTGGGAGTCCAGCGACATAGCCATTACGCCAACTGCTGGTTTCCCCTCCTAGAGTGGTTTTGAGGATCAAGAGAGATGGTGTCTGATTTACTTGGCATACAGAAACAGCTCAACAAGTATTTACTATTAGTTAAGACCTACCAGACTCTACTGAAATCTTATTTCTGCATATTTTTCTTGTTAGGATATAAACTCTTCAAAAACGGGGAATGTATCTGTAGGGTGGGAGTTCAGGGGAGGGAGAAGGGAGAGTTCAAAATGCTCAAGGGAAAATGGAATTGAAGTATGACTTTATTATTTTTATTTTACTATTATTATTTTTAAAGAGAGTTTTGCTATAGAGTGTATGCACTCACCAGAGAGGCAGAGAGAAAGCGAGAAAGCGAGAAAGCGAGAAATCAGCCCCCACACCGCAATCCCTTCTCCATTCTCTCTGGATTTGGGGCATGCACACACATGAGCCCAGCTTGTGTTTCAAGCTGCTGCATCCAGAACTCGAACCGTGGCTGGCCATGTGGGAGTCCAGCGATGTAACCGTTATCCCATATGCTGGTCCCAGTATGACTTAATTTTGATGCAAAAAAAAAATTTTTTTTTGGAAATGTATATGCCATTATTTTTTGTTGTTTTATTTCTGGGCAGAGAACACGTGCTCACCAGAAAGAGAGAGAAACACACATGAGGGGTGAATCCACCCAGCAGTGGATTCACACTCCAATCCCTTCTCCTCCATCTCTTCCTCCTTTTTGGATCTTGAGCTTGCAAGCACACATGCCTGGCATGTTTCCCAAGTTATCAAGTCTAGGACTTGAACCATGCAGTTGGTTATGTCGGATTCAGTAACCTTAACTAACCCTCCACCCACCCCACCAGCTGGCCCAGAAGGGATTTTTAAGCTTCCTTTGTGATTCTAGTGTAGCTTTGAAAACCACTGAGGTGTGCACTTACTCTAGGTTTGTTGAAGGAATGATTAAATGGATAAATGAATAAATTAATGGTGTGGTAGTTGAGGTGGCCGGATCTCCTACGGCCAACTATGCGGTTAGAGTCCCCAACCCAGTCGATTGAAAACACACCGTGTGCATGTTCGTGTGCCCAAAATCTAGAGATGACAACGGAGGAGAAAGGACTGTAGCATGCTCATACTCCCTAGGGTAGTGCTGTCTCACTCCTCCACCACAAACACATGCGCCCTATAGCAAATTTTAAAAAGGGGGTCCTACAGGTGGCATGGTGGTTAAGGCGCTGGACTCCCACGTGGTTGACAGCAGTTTGAGTCCCAGACATGGCAGCTAGCTTTCTCACTTTCCTTTCTCTCTCTGACTCTTCAAATTGAAAAATAAAAAATAAGATAAAATTCTTAAAAAAAAAAAAAAAAAAAATGAGGAGCCAGCAGGAGGGGTGGGGATTAAGAGTCCCACATGGCCAGCTGGGTTAGAGTTCCAGACCAAGCAGCTCAAAAATCAGGCCCAGCATGCATGTGTGCCCAGACTCCCACAAGGAGAACGGAGAAGGGATTGTGGTTGACTATCCCCTCTGGGGGCTAATTTGTCACTTTTTCTCTGTCTCCATCTTTCTCCAGCCAGCACATGTACCCTATGGGAAACCTTAAAAGGAGGGGGTGGGGGTAGAAGTGGCAGAGGTTAAGGTGCTGGACTACCATGGCAAATGCCAGAGAGCCCAAAATCTCAAAAGAATGAGCAGCATGGCCTCCCCTCAATCTCCCTGGGGATGACAAAAAATTGCCCTACCTCCTCTCTCCTAGAGCACATGTGCCCTATGACAAAAACCTAAAAGAAAAAAAGAAAACTATTTCAGGCGCATACAATGTGCTATGTAGTAGCTACAATTAGACATGGTCATCTTAAAGGTTTAAGACAAACTTTTCTGAATTCTTAAGAAACAATGTAACATTTTGTTAGGAATAACAGTATCTCAAAATTAAAAGAATTTTTAGGAGGACATAAATGTGGAGTCAGGAGGAACAGCAGGTGGCGTGGTGGTTAAGGTGCTGGACACTCCAGCATGGTCGACTACAGTTCAAGTCCTGGACCTGGTGGCTTGATTTCTCACTTTCATCTCTCTCTCTCTCTCCCCCCTTTCTCTGGTCATATTAAAATGAATGAATGAATAAATACATAATTTAAATAAATAAATAATGCAAAAATTAAAAAAGTAAATGTGGAGTCAGTCACACTTGAGCTCAAACTTGGTTTCAGTTCTAATGCTAAAACTTTCAACCAAGCTCAACTTGTCTTTTTTTGCGAGATTTCTGTTATAAGGCATGTGCACTCACCAGAGACAGACACACGGAAAGTAGAACTCACCCCCCAGGGTTCTCCATTCTCCTCTCAGGACTTTTGGGCACATAAGCACACATGCCCGGCAAGAGGTTTAAAACAGCCAGCTCCGGGACTCAAACCGCTGTACACTATGTGGGAGTCCAGCAACGTAACCATTATGCCATCTGCTTATCCCCTGAGTATTATTTTTAACTGACTTTATTTGGGAGAAGAAACAGCCTCATATAGTCCTAATTCAAAAATTTCAAAAACTTACAGGGAAAAAAAAATATTCCCAACTCAGTCCCCCTAAGCAACTTGCCTCCTTTTCTGGGACGTAAAATAACAGTAATACTTCCTTGATGCCCGTCCAGTGACGTCACATATAGACAGTGAAACAACACGTATAGTCATGCACCATTTCACAGCAACGTCAGCATTCTACATTCATGGTAAGCCTGAGCTTCAGTTCTGTCTGTCCAAGCTCCATGAGGAGGCTTATATCCGAGAACTATGCAAAACGCCTACCCTAATGCCTCTCATGGCATTAGCATGCAGTAAAGGCAGTTTTCCTTCCTCCACCCTGAAATAGACTGTAGTGCATTAATCTCAGCCTACTGGCTGGCCCACTCACCACCGCCCCCAGGGTACCCAATTTAGAAGGTCTGGGCAGGGCCTGTGTTTGCATTTCCAATAGCTCCCTGAGGATGCGGGTGCTGCGTATCTGTGAGCAGAACCTCACTGTACAGCGGGAATGCAGATGCGCCGGATGCCAAGACTGGCTCCGCCGCTGAGCGAGCACCTGCATGAGTGCGAGCACGTCTGTGCTTGTGTCAAGAGGGCAACTCCCACGAAAGCGGCCTGGTCGCTGCCAACATCAGGAAATGCACGTGGGTTTAGCGATGAAACACGACACTGGGGCAGAAAACTAGACCAGCGCGGTGTCAGAGTCTGGATCCGAGGTTGCCCAAGAGGCGTCACCCAGGCGTCTTCCCCACCTTTACCGCCTCCCACCCTACGACGTCCCTCTATATCCCACGAGCCCTCTCATACACGATGCTCCGCGCTCGTAGGTCCTCCATCGCCCCAGCCCATGACGCCATCCCACGCGCGTCGTTCCCAGACTCATGACGTCACCACGCGCGTCGCCCTCTACACTTCGCGGACGCCGTCCCACGCACGTCGCTCCCTACCCCCTATCTTCCCACGTCTCAACACGACGCCCTCTTCACGTGGTTCCTTCCATTCCCCCGTGTCCTCCCACGGACGTCGTCCCCCACCTGCACTCCCACCCCACACTACGGCCGGCGCTGCCGGGAAAACGCCGAGACCGCGGACGCGGACGTGGGTGGAGCTGAGAGCAAAACTATCCATTTCCAGGTGCGAAAAGCGAGTTGGGAATCCCTGTTGGAAAGTCCTGTAGCGACGCCTGAAGCAACTGTATGGCGTTTGATTTCAAATTGTGTGGAAAACGCAAGTGCCCCTCGTTGAACCAGACTGAAACACACGCCCGCACGCCGGTCCCGCCCTTGACGTGCGGACGTGAGGCGGGCAGGGGAGAAAATGGCGAAGCGACGGCGTGGGGTGGGGCAGGGCGCGGCCGAACGCCGTTTCCGGCCACCAGGGGGCAGCCGCGCGTCTGAGTCCCGAGGCCGGCTGGAACCGGTCTGACCGGAAGTTAAGGCGGTGCCTTCGCTTCCGCCTAGACACGCCACGTGGCCAGCCGGGAGGGATAGGAGAAAACAACAATATGGCGGCGGGGAGGGGCCCTCGCCCTGAACCTGCAGGCGTCTTAAAGGGCGATGTTCTAGGGGCAGGGCGACAGGAGCTGAGTCGTGCGCTGGAGAAGCTGCTTTTGTCGAGCATTGGAGGCCTCCCGATCGAACGGGGCCAGGGTGGCGCCCTCACCCTGTTTCCCCGGAGCCCGATCTGGGTGCTCGGGCGCGGCCGCATCGCGTTCCTTCGAAACCCCGGGCTGGCTTCCTAGTCGGGCCGGTTTGTGTTGTCCCCGCGTTTGCAGCTCCCTGAACGAGCACGGCAGAAACTTTGTTAGGGGTTATGTTGCCGCAAATCGAGGGAGCGAGCCTAGGTGGACCGAATAAAATGCATCCGCCCCTTTCTCGGCAGCAGTTTCGAGAACCCTTTCCTGCGTTTGTTGGGTACTCCGGACCGAGGTGTAGGTCTCAACGGTCCAGGGTTAGCAGTAGCTTCCCCGCCCTCACCGGATATTGTTGGAATGTTTGGCTTGTAAACGAGCTGCACTGGGACCGCGACTGTGTGGCAGCGTCCCAACCTGTTATCTCATTTCCGCCACCTTGGGCATTTTCAGAAAGAAAAATTTAGATGTCGGTTGTTGCGTAGGGTGAAATGCAAGAAATGAAGAAAGCAAAATCGTTTGTATGGCGATTCCATGAAGGGCTCTTCAGGTCGTTGGATCTAAAGCTGGAAGACAGAGCCCTTCGGGCTTTGCTTGGACACTTGTCCCCTGCTCCATTTTCATTCCTCACACCGTTTTATTTTATATGAATTTGAGACGGAGAAAAAAGAAACCAGTGTGGGTAAAAATAGTTGACACAGTTAACACAAAACCACTGAGTGTGATGGTCTATTTAAAATAAAGGAGACATTTGTCTTTGGTTTTTCTAAATTTGTCTTCTTGGGGTGATGATTTGGATTCTCTTGTCATTCTTGTTAAATAATGTATGAAGTCATTGGCATGTCTCTGAAATGATGGGACTTTTTTGGATAAAATAATACTTGGCTCCCAAAGTTTGAAGAGGTTTTAATGAAAGTTTCTGATTGTAAGGGCCACAAACGAGAGCACACTAATGACAGTTCATGAAAGACGTTACTGTATGAGAGATCCCTTGTGGCTTCCTAATCTGGTAGGGGATTTCACACTTGTGGTGTGATCAAAACTGCATCACTCTTAAGTGACAGACCAGAAAACGGTGTAATGTGATTGGGGGTAAGGAAATGCTCAAGGCTTATTATTTTAAGGTTTAAAATGGATATTTTGACCCAGTCAGAGGTTTGAGAGTTTCCTTGCAGTCATTCTTTTTTATCCATGTTTTGTTAAAGCTTCATACTCCTTGCGCCATGTGGTAAAGACAGGCTGATCAGGTTTTCAAGAGGATCTTTTAACCTAGAGAAGTTAAGAACCCTCTCTCCCCTCAGCCTGAGAAAAGAATGCAGTTTCCTTCATAGCATTTCCCCAAAAGGAATCTGGTCCAGTTCGTGTTTCTATATTTTGCTGACACCCCCCACACACACACACACACACACACACACCATGGCCTCCTTTTGGACATATGGTTCAGATGTTATCTTCTGCAACTTTTTCTGCAAATGCCACCCTCCCACAGGAGCACAAGATTCAGAAACCATCCTCAGACCTTAAATTGTTTGCATCCGTAAGGTTATTAACTCAGGCTCATCCAAGTCACTTCCTCTTTAAAACCTTCCTGTCCCCCCAACCCCTTAGTCAGGTAAGTTTAACTTGATGTTCTCATAGATCTCTGATCAAATTGTATGATTAGCTGTCTTTCGTGGTAAGGATCATTCAACATGTTAGTCCACCTGACAAAAAGAAGGACTCTTCAAGGACAAAGATTTTTTTTTTCTTTGTCTTTCTCTCTGCAGAATTTATGCCTGGCACATAGCAGGCACTCAATAAATAATCATTGCATGAATGAACGAATGAAGTTAATAATAAATGCTCATAATCTTTTGATAGGCCATCCGTTTACTCACTGAGGACAACATACCTGTATGCTGTGCTTGTCATGTTCGTATTTTGGCTTCACCTTGAACTGCAGCTTTTTCATGACATAGGTGGAGACACCTAATTGTATGGCCCTCTGTAAGTAAGCAGCCCCTCAATAGGATAGGATTTAGAATTTATCTAGTAGGATTTAACAAGCAAGAATACAAGATTACCAATTAAATCTGAATTTCCCATAGGCAACATTTTTTAGGATGAGTATATTCCAAATAACTATTTAATCTAAACAAATTATTATTTAGCAGAAATTCAGACTTCACTGATGGTAATAATTTTTAAATTATTTATTTAATTTCATTTGTTATTATTTTTTAATTTGACCAGAGAGAGAGAAAGGGAAAGTGAGCAAAACGAGCCGCCTGGACCCGGACTCAATCCATAGTTGACCGTGTGCGAGTCCAACGCTTTAACCACCATGCCACCCACTGTGCCACCTGCCGCCCTGATGGTTATATATTTTATCTGGCAGTCCTATTTCAATGGCTGAATTCACAAACTCTGTCTTTCTACATTCAGACCTAGTAATTCTTGGAGAATTTTATGAACTATATGGTTTTATCACCTTTATTGAGTAAGTAGGCAATCAAAGCCTCTCATTCTGCTGGCTCACATTTTTCATACATATTTATATACTCAACCTTCTTTAAAAAAACTCTTTTATTATAGAGTTAGATTTTAATTAATACTAACTTGACTTCTTTAACCACAACATAGAATTGTATTTGAGACAGAATCATCGTGACTCTACACCTGCATTTTCCATGTACTTTCTTGCCGTCTGTATTCTGTGACATGTCTTAGTTAAAGGGAGATCCTTTCAGGCGTGGTGATTGAGCCGCTGTCCGCCATTGGGAAGCCTTCAGAGCTGTTCGGGCTGTAAAATTCCACTTCCCTGCAAGGAAAAGTGGCAGCAACACCACTCAGCTCCGGCACCTGCATCAGCCCAGCTCAGCAGCCCTTATGTATCATTATAGACTAGGCTTTCCATGACAAGATGATGATTATTACCTTTTTAAAGAAACATCTTATCTAAAAGGCATTCTCAGATTTTAGTTTTATCAGTAGTAAATGAACGTGTACTCCAAAATATAAGCACCAAACTGCAGCTGCACGTATTTTTGTTACAAAGGCACAGTTCCTATTACATTAAATCACATATCCTCGAAGCCGTAACATGGGTGGCAGCTATACACAACACACTTTTTCATTACACATATTTTCCCCTATGTCTCTATAATTTCACAAGTGTCATCCCTTGCTTTACATCCAAACTTAAAATCATTACAGGCCACGCACTTTTTAGGTATCTAAATTTGTGCAAAACATCTGGCTAAGACAGCACATACCACTCAAACGTCACGGCTCTGCATTCTGAAACATGAACTGTCTGTCAGAAACTATTAGCAAGTAGCGATTGAGACTTGAGAGATATTTTTTTCTTACATTAGGAGAAAAGGGTCATGTTAGAAGGTTGTTGGAATGGAGGTGTTACATGATTTTTATGGCCAAGAAGCAGGGGGGAAATGGTTCTTTCTGGGAGTGAAAAAATCTATTTGTCAGGCCCATGGTAAGACTGGGGCTTCACTCTGTGGTTCTTGAGAATGCCCCTTGAAAGACAAGTCACCATCAGGTAGATGAGGAGGAATGGTGGAGTCCCGTAGTAGTTTACAGCAGGCAAAGGCTGCTACCAGGTGATTTACCAGACTAGACTGACTAGTGAGGGCTGGCTGTCATTTTTTGAAAGGGACTGAAGAGACTTCTAATGCCACTTCATGGGCACCAGTATTTCTTTTGTGCTCAGTTGTTTCAAGGAGGGCCTCCAGTAAACAAATGCTATAGTAAAGAGATTAATTTCAGAGCCTAGATGTTTACCTTGCAAAAACTTGGAGCAATAAACTGCTGCTAAATTTGTAGATCGTAAAAGCTTCCAACCTGAAAAAGGACGTTTTCTAACAACTAAGGAGCAGAAAAAATTACCATCGACTATTTATTCTGCTGTAAAAGCCGACCTCTGAAATGAGGATCAATTTTCTGACCAAGCTTTGTTTTAAAGACATTATCTGGTTACGTTTAGTATGCTATATAATCTGTCAACCCATCTGTCAAAAAGGAATCTTCCTTGCTTCAGAACCCATTCGTTTTTACTCCTGTTGTATAGTCAGTGTGACCTTATTCAGGAAGGTGTTCCTTTTGTCCCATTCTGATGTTCAGTAGCTCTCTGGGCCAGAGTCCGTATTTTAAGGTTTCTTTTGGGCTTTCTGTTCTGTTTGTTTTGGTCTATTCATTCTGACATTATTTGCCCAGTTCAGTGTTACCCCGGGGATTAACTTCGAACTGGATTTTATTTCTTCCGAAAAGATAAAGTGGACACCCTGTTTCACATTTTGGTTTCCCAGGATCGGCGCCCCAGCCAGATCAGAGCAGGGGCTGCGGGTAAGAAAGGAGACGGCGCCTTTAAGGGGAACCTGCAGTAATTTTCCACCGCCCGCCTGCCCCACCGACGCAGGAGGCAGCCGGGCTTGTCGAAGTGCGCCTGCGCAGCGCGGCCCGGTTGCCTGGATACTGCCTCCCCCAGCCCCGGAGCCCTGGGTCCTTTTGTTTTCAAGATGGCTCCGAACCTTGCTTTAGGGCGCCTGGAACAAAGCCATTTGCACACCACTGAGTTGCGCAGAAGGGGGAAGTTGTATAGCTGGCTGAGTGTTCCATGCCAGTATCTATCTACTCTTATAACCTTACAGAACTCCTTTCACTGAGGTTGTCCGGATGCGAGAAAAATCATGGCTTGCTTCGAGGTGTGTAAGACACGAATCCATCGCAGGACCTTTGGCTGCGAAGTTGGTGAAACAGTCCTTGCTTCTTTTTAATAGGAATTCTGGATTTTCCTGATAAACTAGTCCAGGAAGCAATCTTGAGATTTACTAGGCTATGACGCTTACCTGTAGAAGCCACATGATTACCTGGAGTTCAGTTAGGGTTAATGACGCCCTTGTCCAAAATAACTACTGACGTTTTTCCATTTTTTTTTTCCTTGAAAACTTAGTTTATAACCTGATCTGGTCTTATGGTGCCATAATAATTATTACTAGACCGTCCGTTCCTTTGGTGTGTAGGAACTGCTTTATTCATCTTTGTATCTCAAGTGTTTCTGCCTGGAACAAGTTTTCAAATAATGTTTCTAAATAATAGAAATAAACTTCTATTGAGGTTTTGTACTCGACCAAGAGCTGTGCAACAAGGCAAATGCCTCCATTTTGTCCTCTGTATTGTACAGATAGAGAAACTAAGGCACCAGGAGGTTAAGTGTTTGCAAAAATGTCAGAATACGGGGTAGAGCCAGCATTGAAGCGGAGGCAGTCAGGGCGGCCAGCGCGAGGCTGCCTCTGTAAGGTATTGTCCTTCCTTCCGGAAATACGGCAAGGATGGCACCATATCTTCTTGTGGCACTGCCAGGGAGGCTGCAAACGTCTCTTTC